GTCATCATTTTGTTGAGATTGATATACAAGAAAGAGCCTACAAATGCACCATGTAATATATTGTACAGATATTATTTTTATTATTGCTATTTTATCGCATGAATGAAATAATACTAAAGTGTTTCTGCATTTTAAGATGTAGATTTTTTAAGAAAAAGTAATATAAATAGCCAGAGTCTAGTATACAACAATTTCAAATCTCCAACAGAATCTATAAAATGTATATTCATTTTCATATTAGAATCACAAATTATTCATTGGTTGTCTCTAAACTCTGAAAGATTACTTTTCTCTCTGAACATGAAGAAAAGATTTATTTCCCAAATAGAAATTGTTGGATATCTCTTCATAGTGATAATAATTCATTATTATATGTATTTATGTTTGTGGATATATAGGTAAATCTGTAGATCTAGATAGATAGCTATATTGATAGATTGTATACATCTACATCCATCCATCTATCTATCTACCTACCTAACTACATATCTACGTATGTATCTATATATTAAAGGAGAAAGGGCCATACTTGGGAAAAAAAAAAGATGGGAATTTTCTGTTGTTGTCAAAGGCAATTTTGGCTGGGCAAGTGGACAGAAACCTAACCTGAATCTTACTCTATGAGAGCCCAGCTCAGCTTTCTTCCTCAGTTACCCTGTTACCTGGCCCACACACCTTTGATTGTTGAACCTGGACCCTTAAAATTGGTCTAAAGGTAAAGCTGGTAAAGTCTGTAGGTAAGTGGGAGACAGACAGCACCATGTACCCTGTCCTGTTTGTGGGAATTAAAACCAACTAACAACATGGGGAGAAATGCCAGCTATAGGTGATGGGGAGGAAGGCAGCAAACCACACTGCCATGTGTGTACCTATGCAACAATCTTGCATTTCTTCACGTGTACCCCAAAACCTAAAATGCAATTAATAAAAAAACAAGTGATTGTTCTTCATGTGCCCATGAAAATCCCAGAGACATCTTTAAACTGTTGTCAGCCTGGTCTTTGTTTCATCTGGTAGTGTGTCAATCCTACGCCGGTAGGAGCATGTGTGCTCACACTTGCTCATCTCCTCACTCCGTTAGCATCTAGTGGGCCAGGAGCAAGTCCCTCTGCTAAGCACTGGGAATAGAAAGATGACTGAGGGGTCCTTCTGTTAATAGGTAAACAAAAGCAGCCAAGAAAATACATTCAATACACAGCACACCCAGAAGCCAGAAAGGAAATTTTAAGTACTTAAAATTTAAAACATTTATATGGCAAAGAAAAAAAAATCCATAGCCAAAGTCTAAGGACAAATATGACATTGGTTATTCAAAATAAACGTGACAGATAAATGGCTACTTAATTTTCAAAACGCTTTACCAAATTAAAAAAAAAAAGAAAGAGAAAGAGAAATAATAATGACATGCAAGGGATATAAACAGGTAGTTCTCAGAAAAAGACAAAAGACAAAGGTGATGGTTAGTATTGAGTGTTAACTTGATTGAAGGATGCAAAGGATTGTTCCTGGATGTGTTTGTGAGGGTGTCGCCAAAGGGGATCAACATTTGAGTCTCGGTGGATTGGGAGAGGCAGACCCACCTTCAGACTGAGTGGGCGCCATTTAATCAGCTGCAGCAGGGCTAGGATAAAGCAGGGAGCGGACTGTGGAATGAGCAGACTTGCTGGGTCTGCTGACCTTCAGCTTTTTTCCTGGCTGGATGCTTCCTGCCTTCAGGGAGCGGACTGTGGAATGAGCAGACTTGCTGGGTCTGCTGACCCTCATCTTTTTTCCTGGCTGGAAGCTTCCTGCCCTCGAACATCAGAATCCAAGTTCTTCAGCTTTTGGACTCTTGGACTTCCATCGGTGATTTCCCTCGAGGCCTTCGGCCACAGACTGAAGGGGGCACTGTTCGCTTCCCTGCTTTTGAGGGTCTGGGACTAGAACTGGCTTCCTTGCTCCTCAACTTGCAGACAGCCCATTGTGGGACTTCACAATGTGACCATAGGAGCCAATACTCCTGCATAAACTCCGCTTCTTATGTGCATCTGTCCCATTGGTTCTGTCTTTCTGGGGAGCCCTGACTAATACAGCAAATGACCTGAAATATACGGAAAGACTCTCAACCTGACTGAAAATATTTAAATGCAATCAAAACGACAAAGAGATATTTCATCAAACAGATCGTCAGACACTAGACAGTTTTGGTATATGTGGGATTGGAAAGAAAAGATTAAATAAACAAATTTGTATACTGTTTGTGGGAATTTAAATTGGTGCAAAGTTTTTGGAGTACAACTTGGCAATGTATTTTAAAATTTTAAATGTTCTTTGACAAACTGCTAGGAATTTATCCTGCAGATATACTTATAAATGTAGCCTATGATGGACAATATTTTAAAACCTGAAAATAATCCGGGTATTCATCAGTGATTATTACTAAAGTTATTTATGGCTACAGTTATATTTTCTTGCTTTTATTTAATTATCCATTAAAGTTATTGCTTTATTGCTTCAGGAATACTATTTGGCCATTACAATTATTTTTTTTTTTTAACACAGTCTCTCTCTGTCAACCAGGCTAGTATGCAGTGGCACAATCTCAGTTCACTGCAACCTCCACCTCCTGGGTTCAAGCCATTCTCGTGCCTCAGCCTGTGCAGTAGCCAAGATTATAGGCATGCACCAACATGCCTGGCTAATTTTTGTATTTTCAGTAAAGTCCGTGTTTCAACGTGTTACCCAGCTGGTCTCAAACCGTTTGGACATTACAATCTTTTTTTCTTTCTTTCTTTCTTTTTTTTTTCTGAGAAGGAGTTTTGGTCTTATTGCAAGACTAGAGTGCAATGACCTGATCTCAGCTCACTGCAACCTCCACCTCCCAGGAGTGATTCTCCTACCTCAGCCTCCCAAGTAGCTGGATTACAGGCACATGCCACCACACCCAGCTAATTTTGTATTTTTAGTAGATGTGAGGTTTCACCATGTTGGTCAAGCTGGTCTTGAACTCCTGACTTCAAGTGATCCGCCCACCTTGGCCTCCCAAAATTCTGGGATTACATGCTTAAGGCACCGCGCTCAACCAGCCATTACAATCTTAAAGTAGGTGTCTATTTGTTGGAATAAAAAGGTTTTCTCATATAAGTGAAGAAAGCAAGATGCAGAGCAGCATGTTTAATATTATCCCACTTATAAATAAAAGGATTCTGGATAATGTAGAGTGACATACACATCAATCATTTTTCAAAGTTTAACAAGAAAGCATTAATACTTGGGCGCGAAGATCTGCTGGTGGTGGCATGACATGTTTCACTTTTCTTTCTCTACCTCTATCTTTTTCTGTGTGGCTGCATTCCTCTTATTTAAATAAAATAAACTAGAAAGTTAAAAGCACACTGCCATATGTTGTATGATAGAGGTAGGGGGTATCGTGGGATGCAGAGGACAAGCATCTGAACCAGGAAAGAACAAGGGGAATGTCAGGGAAGTCTTCCTGGATCAAAGGAGGCTTGGATCAAAGGGTGTCTGAGCTTCGTTTCTGAGGATAAGAAGTTGTTAGATAAAGACCCAGCCGGGATACTCTGGGTAAAGGAAATGGTATTTGCAAAGGCATGAAGATGAGAGTGAAGGCAAGACATGTTTAAGAAGTTGTTTTAACAATGTTTTGTTGAAGTGCAGAATAGTCAACAAATTCAAAAGCGGGATACGCAGGTGTCAAATCACCTAAGGTCTCAAATAGCCTCCTAGGGACTTTGGACCCTCTCCTAAAACAAGGAGAGACAACTAAAGAATTCAAAGTGAAAAAGCACTAAAATCCGTAAAACCTTACGGGATAAATGCAAAGTTACTCAGTAATTCAAGCATGTTAGAAGACTTGCTGTATGCACAATATCACAGAAAGGTCAGCTAACCCGGGATGTGACAAGCGTAATTCCATCCTTGGAAACGACTTTAAAGATGTGAGTTATTCGCTTAACATTTATTCATACTAATAAAAACAAATATTAAGTATATTTTATATTGAGTATATATTATAAGTAAAGCAAACATTCTCAGCTTTGAGTGCAAAGGTGCAAAATGCATTGTCTCTGTCATCAAAAACTCTGATAAGTTCTACAGTGTGTACAGAATGGTGGAAACAGTAGAGGGAGTGCTTCACTTATCGGAGGAATTAGAAAAGGCTTTGCAGGGCCAAGCAGGGTGACTCTTGCCTGTAATCCCAGCACTTTGGGAGGCCTCGGGTGGATTATGACGTCAGGAGTTCCAGACCAGCCTGACCAATATGGGGAAACGCCGTATCTACTAAAAAATACAAAAAGTAGCCAGGCATGATGGCGCGCTGCTGTAGTCCCAGCTACTTGGGAGGCTGAGGCAGGAGAAACACTCCAACCCAGGAGGCAGAGGTTGCAGTGAGCCAGAAAAAAGAAAAGAAGACTGCAAAAGTGATGGTATTTGAAATAGGCCTGAAGAGATAAAAGGAGCTCTTCAGGTAAAAAGGGAGGCAGAAAGAATTCCAGAGATAGAAAAGAGCAACTGAGCTAAAAAAAAAAATTTTTTTAAGGCACAGGAATGAGTAAACGCATGACAAGAAAGGAACCTAGACTAGACAGATGAGGGAGACAAGGGACAGAGGTGAAGGCGTGAAGGATTCACACTGATACAGTTTGGATGTGGGTCCCTTCCATATCTCATGTTGAAATGTAGACCCCAGTGCTGGACGTGGGGCCGGTCAGGAAGTATTGGAACATGGGGGTGGATCCCTCATGAGTGGCTTAGCACCATCCCCTTGGCGATGAGTGAGTTCTCACTCAGTTCATTCAAGATCTGGTTGTTTAGAAGAGTCTGAGACCTCCCCCTTTACTCTCTTGGTCCTTCTCTGGCATGTGACATGCCTGCTCCCCCTGGGCCTTCCACCTTGAGTGGAAGCTTCCTGAGGTCCTCACTTAAAGCAGATGCTGGTGCTAAGCTTCCTGTATAGCCTACAGAACTGTGATCCAGAATAAACCTGTTTATGTTACCCAATTCTTTTGTAGTTCAAGAGTGTGATGATTGATTGCTCATGCGCATGCATGACATATGCCACCCTAGAACCTTGTTACATCAGCACATTACCAGTCTGACCTAAAAAAAACTATCCACCCTCAGATATTCCTTTAGAATAATACAGAGTAATATACGCACGAGCCTTTGAAAGGACTTCAGACTTTTTAATTCACAGGCCACAGAGAGCTGCTGAAGGTTTTACAGCAGAAGAGGTGTTATGAGGGAATCTACGTTTTAGAAAGATAGCTGTGGAGGCTGTGACAAAGGATTGGAGTCTGGAGCCTGCCCTTTAGGAGCTGTTAAAACAATCCTGGCAACACATACGATGAAACTAACTCAGTCCAGGATCGTAAGACTGGAGACAGCAAGAGAGACGGGAGAAACGATTACAAGGAGGTAGAAGAGAACACGACTTACTGGGTTTCTATCTTGCCCCCAAGCCCTGAGATAGGTAATGTACATACCTTGTTGATTTACCCTTTACAGCAGCAGCCCCATGAGGTAGGCTGATGTGCCCCTCGAGAGGCTAACACGGGCATTAAACAGCAGAGCCGGGATTTGAACCTATGTCTGCTAGATTCCAAAGCCCATGTGCTTTCTGTCTCCTCAGACAGCAGCAAGAGGACTTGACGAGGGATCACGTATTTTCTCCAACAACGGTTCCATCATGGCTCACTTTCCTAAACTTCGTAGGAAGCCACGCCTGTGCTCCAGCCTCCAGCAGCCCTGGGGAAGAATGTATTCCGCTAGGTTACATGGTGCTCAGTGAAGGAATATTCCTACATTAAGCAGAGTGTGGAGGCCAAGCAGCGTTCCACCTGTCTAGGTGTGTATTTGTTTTCTATTGTGGTCACTACAAATGATTGTGTGCAATTAACATAAATCAATACACATTTATTACCTTGCATTTCGGTTAGTAAGGTCTCACTGGGCTCAGATCAAGGCATCGGCAGGGCAGAGTTCCTCTCTGGAGGCTTTACGAGATCATTCTTTTCTTGGCTTTTAGAGCTTCCAGAGGACACTAATCTGGCTCATGGCGCCCGTCCTTCAGCAGGGGCAGGTCGAGTCCCTCTTACATCTCATCGTTCTGACCATCTTTCCTGTCTCCCTCTTCACTTTTAAAGGAGACTTGTGATTACATTGGGGGCATCTGGATAAAGCGGGCTGGCTTCTCTATTTTAAGGTCAGGCGATTAGCAACCTTAATTTTATCTGCAAATTTAATTCCCTTCTGCCACGAAAGGTAACATGTTTACAGGTTCTGGGGATTAGGACATGGATACTTTGGAGACCATTATTCTGCCCAACATTCAGTACTTTATGATGATTTACATTTGAATCTTGTGTTTTTAGTTTTAGAAATGTACAAGAAAGGGGTCAGGGAAACGGTGGTGAGTAAAGAGTTAACTAGCCATCCAAGAAGCACAATGACCTCTTGACAATGTTGAGTGTGGTGTACACTGCTGGGCCAAGAGCTGAGCCGTTGGGGTAGGCAGTTCCACATCTCCGAAGAAATGCTCATCAAACCATGACCAGTGGAAACCAGGACACCAGTCACCTGGGAAACCAAGTAAACATAAACATACAGCCATCCATCACTGCCATCTGGAAGAAATTGGGTAGTGAGGGTCTTCCTGTCAGGTCTTGCTTCAGTATTTATTTGTGTAGCTGCAGATCCCAAACCAGCCCTTCTGTCAGCGAAGCTTCAGTGAGGAGCACAGGGCTGAATCTCAGCTTGGAGTTAAAACATACCACCTTTCTGTGTGACTGTGGATGTAAATATTACCAGCAGACAGGTCACTCAAGAGATAGGTGCCGTGTTTCCAATTCTAAACAGTCTCTGTCGGTCAGACGGGGAGACCCTGTGTGCTTGTTGGTAACACCACCTTTAGCGGAAGTCTGAATTCCTGGTGAATACTGCCTGTGTTCTGTTCTATTCAGGACTATGGCCTCCAGAAGCTTTGCCCTACAAGCTCCATCCTATCAATGACTTCAGGCAGAAGTGTGCAGGGAAAAAAGATGGTTTTCGTTGGGTCCACTGCATGAGGTGATATGTAAGTTTTATGGGCTCTCCTCCCGGGAGTCCTTGCTTTTGACAGAGAATGTGTTTTCAGTTGCTGCTCCAATCTATCAGTGGTGATAGATTTGCCCAGCTCCCTTCTATGTTCTCGCCCTGTTCCCCAAGTGATTCAAAGCATATTTACAAGACAGCTGGCTCAGGTTTACAGGGGCCAAGTCTGAGGCATGGATCAGAGCAGAGTAAAGTGACCCATACAGGGAAGAAACTTATGACCCTGGCCTCCTAAGCACTATCTCCTTACAGATTCAGCTAATACAGCTCCTGAAAGCCTGCCCTTCATCTAAGTGTACAGGCGACATTGAAACACTCAAAGGCAGCCTGGCAGCAGCAAGAAGAAAAACATTCAAATCCAGTTAGATTTTCTGGCATCACATTGTTTCTTCTTAACTTGAAGATACGTTTGGGGACCCCTAGTCTGGTGACACTGAATTAGAATCAGTCCAACCCTTTCTTGTTGAAACACTGTGAGCTGCAAGAGACGCTCCCATCCTCATCCCTGGTTACAGTGCAGCTCCTGAAGGGCACGGCCTGGGTTGTACTCAGTCCTCGGCACAGAACAGATATGTGAAGCATGCCAGTGAAATTAACTTTAAAAATGGATAAATCTGTGAGATAAATTCACTTTTTACATGTACCCTCACTTTACTTTGACAAGCAAAATTCTCAAAATTCCTATATTCCACATAACTTATTTCATGGACAGCAAATATCCTAGAGTAACCGTTAGAAATGTAACACAAGCCATAAATACAAGTCATAGATGCACTTTAATTTTTTAGTAGCCACACTAAAATAAGTAAAATTAAATAGATAAAATTGATTTCATACTATATTTTATTTAACCTAATATATAAAAAATATTGTAATTTCACATGCATGCAATATAAACATTATCAATGAGCAATTTTCTCTCCTCCTCCTCCTCCTCCTCCTCCCCCTCCTCCTTCCTCTTCCTCTTTCTCTTCCTCTTTCTCTTCCTCTTTCTCTTCTTCTGTAACAACTCTAGCAGCCCATCTCAACTTGAACTAGCTAAATAGCCACATGGGGCTTACTGCTACTGCATTCAACAGCACAGCTCTGGGCCCCTCTTCATTTTCCATTCTCTCTTTCTTTCCATTTGACTTTCCACTGCTCACTACCTGTGCCCCTACTGGCTCCCCTCATCTTCCTTCTTCTGTACTATCGATTTCATTCAAGGATGCCCTCCCCACAACTCTGCCAGCTCAATTGCACCCAACCTGCGAGGGCAGTCTCAAGACTGGTGAATATTATGATTAATTAACATTGAAATAGCCTTGAGTAAAGAATCCTTATTTTCATTGGCTCATTAGTAATGGCATGTTGATACGTGCCACCATTTCCTCTTTATTGTGGAAAAGAACAGGTTCCATTTCAAATGATTCCGTGGTAGAGCAAGGACTTGGAACCAGGTGTTCTTGGTTCCCTTGCAAAAAGATACCTCCACTCAGTGGCTTCCTTCTCTCCCTTCTGGTGGGAAAGAAAGAAAACTCAGTAGCAGTTCCAGTAAATTATAACATGTGCTGAAGTAGAAGAGATGGAGGGTTCTGTGTGAGCATTTGGAAGGGGAATTTAACCTATTTTGGGGGAAGTCACAGGAGATTTGGGATTGCAGAGCAGGGTGAAGTGACTCCTACAGGGAAAAAACCTATGGCCTTGGTCTCCTGAGCACTGTCTCCTTACAGATTCAGCTTCTGATGGGGTTGCTTCTGAAAAGACCCCAATTAGGTGAGTCATAGTTTTAATCAACTGTCATGTTGTAGTTTATTTCAGGCAAGTGGTTTAGGTAGGCACTGTCACATTATAAATGTCATTACTATCTAAGACTGGCCTGGGGCTCAGTGAGCCACAGACAGTTGGAGAATATCTGCCTAACTCTTTCCTAAGCCCATTATTGTGGAAGCTGCCCCGATTTTAGTGAGCCCCTCTGGTTCCTGAGAAGAAAAGCTAGACTTGTGGGAAACTCATTGTGCCATCTGCATGCAGCTCCTCACTTTCCATCATTATGCTCATTGGAGAGCTCCAAGGAGCGTGCCTGCTTTCAGGAGGAGATTGAATTCATCTCTATTCTTTTCTTTCTGACTTGTAAGCAGCAGCAGTATGACAACACTTCCCAATTTTATTTCTAGCTGTCCCTGTGGCCTCAGTTTTCTTCCCAGTGATGCTCTCAGTGTTTTGCAGCTCTGAGTTCTGCGCAGTGTTGCTGGCCTGCAGTGCCCCTTGGCTTGGAACTCTGAGGCTGTGATTTTCCTCTGGAAATCCAAATCATCTTTGGAAAAAGCAACCAATTTCTCACCCAAGCCATGTCCAAGCAGGTCTGGTCCCCAGACCATACCTGGCATGAAAAGAGGCTCAGTGTAGCACACAATAGGTGACTGTAGTCTGGTTTTGGAACAGATGGTTGGCCATGTCTACTCCCTGTGATCCCACCTCTTACCTCCATCAGACCAGCTCCTTAGGGAGGGGCCCTGACAAGCATTAAGAACATAGAGAAATAAATACCTGACTTGTTCTAAAACGCAGAGGTGATCCTGCTATTGTCCTGATTAAGACATTTTTGCAGATCATCTCTATGGTAGGCCATCACTCTGCCTCTTCAACTATTCTTCCTTCTGATTATCAGTAAATAAAATGCTTGTTTATGCACAGACATCTTGATAGGCAAAGGAGAACTGATAACTCAGGAACAGTCCTTGCCCCCAGGTCCATTTTGTTTAGCTCTGTAAATAAAAATGCAGCAGATGTTACAGGCTTTGTGCTAAAGGGGTGGACAGTGCCGGGATTCACAAAGGAAGGAACGATCAGTTTTGACTGGGGGCGGAAGGTGAGACTCTGTATGTGAGTAAGTGTTGGCAAGTTGCACAGAGATGAGGGGGAAAGAACTGGGAGCTCAGGTATGCAGATGGCAGGCCTGAATCCACCTGCTGTTTTCAGCAAAGTGCAAGGACATTTGTGTGTCTGCTGTGTAGGTATGAGGTATGA